AGGACCCATCACATTAAGGTGGCAACATAGTTTCTCCAATACCTATAACTTAAGTACTCAAGCATTCTTTATACATAGGAAATATGAATAATAATCTTCAGAAATACTTAAGGACACAGTAGAATATTAGAAACATCTTATCCATGGGGTTAATGTCTTATTTATTTTTTGAGAAATATTATATGAGCAAGTATGAGTGGCGATGACGGGTGCGAATGTGAACTTTCCCTTTCCGGCTGACTATGACAAATGTGGTCTGATGGTCTAGAGGTATGATTCCTTCTTAGGGTTGTTGCAATCATTTGGAGGAGGTCCCGGGTTCAATTCCCGGTTAGGCCCTTTTTTCGTGCATTTCGTGGTTATTATTAGCCGAGAAGCATCGCAATGTATGAGTTGAGGAATTTTTTGACTCTGTTATTCCGTTGAGAAGTCATGTCGCAGCCACTACAAGTTGCTCCGAATTCAGGGCTCTTTCAAAGGGGATGTGCAGATTTGTGACCAGGATAGTCGAAGGTATGAGTTATGAAGGGTATGCGAACAGTTGATGAACGAGATATAAATAGCTCCTGCGGAGAATGACTTGCCTTCACCGGACTCTTAGGTTTTCCCCGACCGTTTTCTCTTCCATTGTTGTCTCTTACTCGCAAAACGTTAAAAATCACGGAGCGCTGAGCCCTGCGAGGTGACCGTCCTCGGACTTGAAAGTCTCGGTGATTGATCTAATGCCAGGGTGAATGCTCCGAACCCTGGTGCACTGGTATAGCACCAGAACGCCACTGGATCCGAGTTCAGAATAGCATAGGTATGGAACATGACATACTAATGTGATATGCGCTATGCGGAAAACGCCCGATATCTTTATAAAAGCTTCTGGTATGTCAACTCTTTCAGTCGCTAACCTTCTAGCTAGCAGGTAACCTGTCAAAAACAATGCGCCTTACCAGCATTTTACTGCTTCCAAGTGTCTTACTGTCTGCTGTCCTCGTAAATGGACAGTCGCCATTGCATATATTCCAACCACCCAACGCGGAATTTGTCCAGCTTGGCAGCTTGTTAGACATCGGGATCTCCACGGTGCGTGTCCCACCCATCCTTGCATTGACATATGGCAGCCATTAATAATTCTGCCCCATAGATTTCCACAGGTGGAAACATCCAGATTCAACTTTGCACATTTATTACCGGTCAAAATCTCTGTAGCAATGGCGCAACAATTTTGCTGAAAGCTCCCTTGTGCACAAGCAATTCGACTTACTCTGTTATTATTCCCTCCAACCAAACAGCGG